AAAAAAAGCCCGGTCTAGGTAGGGTTAATTCCATTACGTGTAAAAATGAAAAAAAAAAAAACACAACTTGAAATGGCCAACACAACCCTGTCATGTAATGGTAACGTCGGTTATGGACTCCGGACCCGCGGGAATGAATGACCTGTTTTTTTAGGGGAACGGTGCCATCTGATTGGTCGACGTCTTCTGTCTATATGATGATAAGATATACCGCGGTATAATCAGTTACCATGGTGATAGCTGTAAATAATACAACACAGTTTACTGTACCTTCCTCTGTCATGTCCCTCAGCTCACAGCGCTGACTTGTACCGTTGTACGTCCGTTTACTGTAGGCACCAGTCTGACTGTCTATAATGACGGGTGTCCCCGCCTCTCGCGACTTGTCATACAGAAACATCGTCTCCCAGTGTTCCACCTGCAGCAACAAGAAAAAAAAAAACTATGTTATAGAATAGTAAATAAATTAGAGTATAGAGTACAGACGAAACATGTCTCTCTGGCACACATGTCTCAATTTTAAACAGTCACCTAAATTCTAACGGGCATTCATTGTAGCGTTATGTAGCTAGTTCTACTACACACCTACACAATGCTTTAACAATACGTTTACATGTATGTATTGTGCGATGGTATTGATACAACTAAGAACGTGATATGTTGGCAACTAAACCCAATAGGGTCCAGCAAATTCTGCAGACTCCCCCCCCCCCACACACACACACATACACACCGGAAGACAAAGAACCATACCTCCAATTTTATGGAGGAAATCGGATTTGCGATTAACCGAATGTCTATATACTTTAAACCCCCACATACACACACCGTAAGACAGCCAGAGAACCATGCCTCCAATCTTATGGAGGAAGTCGGATTCGCGATTAACCGAATGTCTATATACTTTAGACATGAAAAAGCATTCTACTGTCGGGAAGACAAAAACAAAATGAAAAGTAAAATCAAGTTGGTGGTTAAAAAAAGTATTTATCTCTAATATTTTTAACAAAAATGTATCATGCGGGTCATTACTTTAAACCCAGTAGCATACCCGGAAGTGAGAATCGAGCTCAAAGTAAAGCCGTATCCACACAGAGTAACCATCTTTCATGTCTTTTAGCCATGTTAGTCTCCAATTTTGATTCGCAGCAGATTATGAGTCAGACTGTAAACTCCAATCTGGACCCTACAAACCCTTTCGTCATGTTTTTTTCCGTGCCATGACTTATGGCATATCATTACGTCACGGATACTGGTTATAGGGTTAACATAAATACTGTTACAATACGTCTGGTTGTGATAGCGCTATATATAACCTTGGTTTTACTAGCATGGTTTGGTCTGAGGTACACCTGATCAGTGTGTTTTGTGCAGAACTGTGCCTATCAAGCTGTATACATGAATGTGTTAGGGATAGTATAACAGGCACTGTTTTGCATTGATAGTCTTCGCTTATCTACGATCGTAGATTTACCCAGACAGGGTTCTGGACACATAAAGACTATCCAGAATCGTGCTTGTGTATGATTCTGGGAAAGCACAGTCCTGGATACAACACAATTCCTTTACGGTACTATAATACTAACACTGCCTATGATTATGACATAAACAACGTTACCGTCCAGTCGAACTCGTACAGGTCCTGGCGTTCCGGGACTGAGATTGAGTTCACGAACGCCTCTTGCGCCACGGCGACAGTACACAGCACCCACAATACCCCAAGACTCCAAATTACCATGCCGGGTAAGGTTTCTGGCATGGTACCAATACGTTCAAGAGCGAGTAACGATTCAAACCGGTCTGTCCACAAAGTTACAATCGCTGAAGGCTTAGTTTCGTTCCACGGAAAAACAGTCTTGCTTTGTAAATGTGAAACGCCCACTCTGGGTCTAAGATTCCGCGAACGAAACTTCGAGGGTGTCAAAGGGGTTAAGGGGTACACAAGTCGTACGCAATGTTCCGTCAAGCTGGCGGTTGTTTGAGAATCTTAACAGTGCCTGTGTCTTTACTACTGACGCTAGAGGGTGTGTAAGAGGTTCATCAGTGTCCGTGTCTTCAGTACTAGTGCTAGAGGGTGTGTAAGGGGATTATTATTTAGTGCCCGTGTATTCAGTACTGAAGCTCGAGGGTGTGTAAGGGATTCATGAGTGCCCGTGTCTTCAATATTTAAGCTAGAGGGTGTCCAAGAGGTTCACCAGTACCCGTGTCTTTAGTAATGACGATAGAGGGTGTGTAAGAGGTTCACCTGTGCCCGTGTCTTCGGTATTGATGCTAGAGGGTGTGTAAGGAGTGTCCCTGTCCCCAGTTCTGTTGCTAGTGGAAGGGGAGCGAATCGGGCTCCGCCTTCCTATACCGTCCTGGACGGCTTCAAAAATTGCTAAGAGACTACCTACAATAATTTTACCCGAATTGTTATAAAATGCCATTGTTAGGTACATACAGGGTTCTTGCATGGACCATGACAACCCAAGGACATTATATACAACCATTGAAAAATATGAACGCCAATAACTGTGTGAATTCGAGCAGGGTTATGGTTCCGGGTCGGAGTTTAATTCTGACCAGAGTCTAAGTAAGTGCGCAGTAAATCGCCGGAAACGTGACTTTGTATGGTATGTTTTGGCCCCGATATCCCTGAAATCGTAATATCTGTGTACATATCTTTGTATTTTCTGAAAAGCCTGTTAGTTGTAGCCTTTATAGGTGGCGTAATGTTGGTGGTCCAGCTAAGACTTCCTGGTATTCGTCCGCGCGGATGGTTATGTGGCCTTTTCGCCTGACCGCCGGGATGGTACGTTCTATGTGCGTTGTGGGTGTGTTCGGGCCATCGAAGATAGCGATAAACTTATCGCATCGATTTTAATTAAATTCAAATTTTGGAAACATTAGGTTCTGAGCTTCTTCGAGTACTAAGCCGTTACCCTGGGAAAATTCGTTTTTTCCATGCAGCCATGGTTAAAAATGACGAAAAAAATGACCCCTTTTTTCAAAATGTACTTTGATGTGCCTCATTTACCCCTAAATAAATTGGGCGCAGAAATATCAATCAAGTGTATTGATAAGCGGCACGGCACCCCTTCCACCAAAGAGTGAAACATTCCGACCCGCGTTTAGTACAGAAATGACAGCCCGTCGGGCTGAGGGTGTCAAATTGCTCGAAATACGGAGGGAAACTCCGGTCCGAAACCTTGTGTTACTTATAGACAGGTCCCGCTCCATGTACACATGACCTTCGTCTGACCTCTGCTGCCTTGTAACCGAGTAAGGAACAAACCACCTTAAAATTGAAGGGGTGGATGAAAAAAAAATTGACAAGGTCAGATAGCAATATAAAAAAGGAGAATGTTAGCATGTTCTCGGAATCAATTGCGGTGACAAGTCAACTCGCCTCCTTTTATTGAGAAGACAGAAAATCAACCCCAACACCCCCCCCCTCTTACCAAGGTTGGTTTATCCCGAAAGGAGACACGGTGGTAAGATAACACTAAGTCTTTTGTATTTCGCCACAGGTCAATGAAAAACAATACAAACGGTGTAAAAGGTCATATGCATAGGTAGGCGTGCCTTTACACGCGAAGGGGATATTCCGTTCATTATCACGGGGGGATGTAATGGTAGCTTGGTTACGAAATACTGTCAATTCTGTACAATGTGCACAGGGACATCCTGATTATGAATTTCTTTACATTGCTAGAAAAAATTGTCTAGTAAGCCTTTCAAACTCATGTATAAAATCTAACATATGTACTCGGTGACTGCTCAGGTGAGTCATGTACACCAAACAGCCATGTATAAACAGTGAGGTCACAGGGTAACGCCTGATACTTTCGACGAGAACGTATGTAGATCAGACATAATGACGGTGAAATGTCGTAGCGACATTATATATATGCCATAGAAAACCACGTCTTAACACACGCCATGATGTTAAAATACACATGCTAACTCGTACGTTTCAAAGTCTTGTCACAGGTTTTTAAAGGTATTCAATGCAGTGTCAGGGCGACAAAACTGGATTTTTAGAGTTAATATGTACCTTGTTTTTAAAATGCATCCAGCGTAAAATGATGTCAAAAAATGTGTAAAGAATAAGTACTCAATTTAAATATCAAGCAGATTCTCCCATACATTTTTTTTCGTGTTTTGTCGCTCTTGTTTGTCAAGCCGTGTTATAGTTTAAACAGAGAGATCAGGCCTTAGCACCCAGCTCTTTCTACGTGGGTGTTGTGACGTCATTTCCGTAGGGGGAATCCCAGCCCCTCCCCCGTGAATTCACCACAACTTTCCGAACTCTTCCGAGTTGCAGCACCGAAGTGCCTCGTACCTGTTACTACTGCTACAACTAAAGGTATGTGCAGGGATATTCAGGTTTATATTTAGATTAGTCAATATAAAATCGGAGGTTACAATCAATAATTCAATAAACTTAATAATCATTCATATAGTCTTGAGGGCCAGAAATAACTTTATATATTCGACAGTGTTACTTCCTGTTCTCTCGCTCGATCGCGAAAACTCGTTGTTTGCGTTTAACTAGTACGTAGTTTCTGAGTTTCTGAAAGCTTTCAGGTGTATTAGGTGCAGATACGTTTTAAACCACATTAGATTAATGGTTTAGTAATATGTTGCAGTCTTAGTTACATCTTGTCATAGTATCTTTGCCACAAGTGACGAATGATGAGTGACGTAAGGGGATTTTTTTTACATATACGTATGAGGTGGAACGTGTACACATGTTTGTGTGTTTTTGAAATACATTGTTGTATGCACGCAAATGGTAGCCTCCTACGGGTTACGGGTCGTAGAATTTGGTGAAAAAGGAAGAATATTTGGCAAGGAGAGTCTGTCTGAGAAACTTGAATTATACTGTGGCTAAATCTTCCTCGTTCTGGTCGGTCGCACGGGTCACTGATCATCGCATTACAAAAATTATGAGAAATTCTCCTGTGGTTCTAGAACAACTTCATTGGGGGAGAAAGCCTACACCATTATTCCTAACAGGAAAAGCCAATTGTCACCAAAAATCCAAGACTATAGCATGTTTAGGACAAAAGATACAAAAACCGGAAGGAAACCCTGCTGCAGTATCAGGAAGCTCACATTTTACCTTGACCTGTGTCAGAAGAAGCAGACCTTTGTCTTCCTACCAACATACCTAATATCATCATATTCCAAAAAGGCTTTGAAGTTATGCTGAATATAAATGTGCGGAAACACAAGCACACAGACAGACACACACACAGACACAAACACACAAAAAACAATACCCCTATCGTTCATTGAAGTGATAACTAATCTAAGCATCAATAATTTGACTGGTATTAGATGCAAAATTGTCTCTTTCAAAATTTGTTCACAACATAGACCGTGTTCCAGAGTTTGGAAGATCTTATAGAAGAAGATGTCGACGGAAAACGAGACAGGGAATGAAAGCGCCTTTGTCGGTAAGGGTAATGCCTACGTTACATTTATCCAACAATTAAAATGATACTTCATTATTTTCTAATTTTTATTTGAAAAGTAAAATATGTAATTTATATTACATCGTTTGATAAAACAACTTTTGACTACGTATTGCAAAGTTCAAGTGCTTCAACTTGAGGCAAAATTGTTTTTTTTATTCATATTAGCACATTCAGACGTTTCCAAGCGGAACTCGAAAGATCTTGACCTGCCTGCCGCTTTGGCGGCCATGAATTCGAAGCTTGCCGGGAAGGAACGGACATCTTCTTTGGAATCTGGATACGCAACCGGTAAACAACTTGTAATATCTAGATTTAATAAGAAGCGAAAAGAATTGTTTTGTTAGCATTACTTTATCGGGTTTTACCTTTTATTGTGGTAGAAATAATATAACAAAAGACTATAACTTCTTCAACATCCCAACGTGGAGAACAAAGTTTTCGACTACTAACACGATCACTAGGCCTCGAGTGAGGGGTTAGGTGTAAAGTTTCTTCTTAAGGGCACAAAACTGGTGCCTTCAAGGGATTTGAACCCAAAACCTTCAGATTTTGAGTCAACGACTCCAACCACAAGATCATCTTGTTGCCATTAAAACAACTGTTCAAACTTAAGGTTACGCCAAGGAAGTGGTCACTGCTGTCTTGCACTGTTGCAAAAACGAAGTTACCTTGATATTTATCTCAAAGAATGTTTTTTGTCTAGAGAAAACATTAAACGTGTAATAGTAACAGTTTCTTTTACCTCTTTTGGCACAGAAAGCTCCAGTCGCCCGACCAGTGGCTACGACTTTGACCAGGCGCCCCAGGGCCAGACCTCTCCCAGTCCCACAGTTTTCCGCAAATCCAGCTCCAGTGACTCCACTCAGCACATCATCAACTACATCACTGTGCAGATAACAGGACCTGCAACTAACGTGCAGATTGGGTCTAACAACAGCATGGACGTTACTAAAGCTGAGACTGACAAGAGGATGGTTCCACTTTCAGAGGGTAAAAACAAATTACAACAATGATTATTAATCTCATTATATCATGCACAGTTTATATGTGTTGGCAGTTACATGATTAAAGTAAAAAAAAACAATTTTGTTTTAACAAAAAAAAGCTAAATGTTCTCCCCTAAAGCATTTGACTAGTCACTCTGGTAGACTGACCCAGTTAGACTTACATCGGGGCCAATCACCCTTCACACAACCGCAACGGGGGCCGACATCATTTAACAGATACCTTTGATTCATGGTTGACATCAGGCTTCAGAGAAGCCAAGTGACATGTCTCACTAGGTCAGTCTACTGAGGAAAACCAGAGTGATTGGTCCAAAGAACTAGCTGAGAATACATTTTATCTTTTTTCTAAGTTTGAACTTAAAACATAATCACATTATAGGGACCAGA